AAAAAAATAATTATTATTCTTAAAAAATAAGTTTTGCTCTCTACGCAAAAGACACATTAAATTCTATTTGAAAAAAAATCAGAAAATCAGGATTTCATAATATCATGGAATACAATTCTAATTCTTGCATATAATACTCGACTAACTTTAGGTAGATTTTCTGTCAGATTAGTTAACATTCAAAATTTGTGTGTAATTTTGAAATTTTTGTACTTGCAACGGAATGAAAGTGTAATATCAACAAATAGTAAATTTAAATCAATAGATGGAATATGAACATATTTTAAACTATAAATTTAACAACCTCTGATGAATATCCAAACCTTGAAATGATATATGAAGAGAAATAATTCTGACTTCTGAGAGCAAAATTCCGACGCAATCAGCTAAAAACATCCGCACCGATCTCGAGGGATCACCGCGAACGGCAATATTTGATTAAATAATATACTCTTTCCCAAACATCGCCGGAGTGATTGGAAAACGCCTGACGGGTAGACAGGCCCGGCAGACGAGCCAACATTTAATATCCAGACCGGTCGTAATATTCCTGCCTGTATACATATGGCAAAGCAAACACATCTCTCTGTAATTTGTGTGTGTCGATTTACATCTGATGGTGCCGCCGAATCGTGATTCGCCCGCCCAGCCAGACACACACACACACACGTGATGCATTGTCTGTTTGTCCTATTAAAGGCTGGCCGAGGCTGCCTGGTTGCCGCTCGTGATTTATTGCTCCTGATTTGTCCTAATGCACCCGCCGAGCAGACACACACACGGACTGCAATTATGAGCGAATAAATTAGAGGACGCTCGGTGCAGGTACGGCTCTTAGTGAGCAACATAAACACACATCACGGCAGAGCACTCACTCAGCACAGAGAGCAGCAATATCTGTACCTTAATTAAGAGCAGCGGCGCCTGGCGCATTCAATTCCGATTTGGCCAAAGCCACTATTTCTGTGATTAACTTATCGAGTATTAACTAAAAAATAATAAATAGGCGCAGTCAATTTTGTACATCTGTGAATTTTTAAAGTTCACGCATTCATATAATTTGGAATTAAATTACAAAAATATCGCAGTTACATCAATGCTTTTTTTAATAATTATATGCGATATTCACATGCTACGTTAGTACCAACAATTTTTATAAACTAATTTAGCGTAAATATTCCACATTATAATTTATTGAATTATATTTTTAACTCTTAAAAAATATTTTTAATAATTTCTGTTGATTTAAATAAATAAATTATGTTTTTAGGACTAGCAAACATTTATTTGATAATACTCTATTATTTTGTATGCGTTGGTAGGAATTAAATATTAAGTTAAATCTATATTAATATCCAGCACCATGAATAATTAAGATAAGTTAAGAATTAATTCAACTGAATAACTTCTTAAAATGGAATACTAATGAGGAATTATCATGGAAATATTTATCTATAGCAGAAATAGAAATAGTTGAGTTTAAACTTGACTTCCGTTTCAATAGCCAGAGTAAAATTATAAATGACATCAAAGGAAATTTGGAACTGAAAAGATCGGGCTTTTCCATGATCATTTCCTTGAGTGTCAATTCCTATAAGCAAACAAAGGAAATTTGTTTCTATCTAATTGAGGCTCAATGCGGCGGATGGGATCTTTTTGATCTCGGAAGTTTAAGCAAAATTTTTGCTAGTGTTGATGCCTTTGTGTCCAAAAATCCCTTTTTCTTAAAGAATTGTTTTTCAAAAATTGAATGTAAACAATTGTATTATTTTAAATTAGGAAATAATGCTCTATCGCCTATCGCAATCTTTTTTATTTTTGTGTGTCGGTGTTGATCATTTAATCTGCTGCTTTTTATAAGTATAAAGTGCAAATTCAGCGATATCAAACAAAAACAGCAGCTGCTGACAAGAGAACCGGCGCTCTATGTCGGTTGCCACTACGAGTGCAGACAAAATGTTGTGAATGAAAGGATTATCTGGCGTGCGCTAAAATGCAAAAAGGATTACCTGCCGGCGAACACAAAAGGCGCAGCAGACAACATGCACATACGTGTGTAAATACCCTCTTTTGTTTTATCGCCCCAATTAATGAATGGTTGCACAACGGCAAAAAAATAAATAAAATAATCCGGCGCCGAAACAATGAGAGTCTTTTGATTTACAACATAATTCCATTGTGTATTTGTTTGGCTGCCGGAAAAATTAGTCTTTCCCGCGCGCAACACTTATCAGGATGAGTTGCCGTAAAAAATATGCGGGTGAATTTTTTCATCTGTGGTCTGAATTTTTTACAACAGGCAGGGAAAATTATGTTTTGCAAAGCGTATTTCACAATTTCAGGCTCTGAAGGTGAAATGAAGAGCCGAGGAAAATTCCAACGGCTCACTTGGGCCGCGGCAAAATTTAATTTGGCCCACAATTTTTCATCTCTTGCGCAGGGGAAAGACTTAAAACCTCGCGGCGTCGAGACCAAATTTCCATATTCGCGCCCGCTATCTTGGCGCATGTTACAAACACAATTTGGCAGAGCCTTTTGTGCTGCGGGTCTGCCTAATTACGAAGCGGCTTATCATTCGTCGGCAGGCTCGCTGACACAATAAATACCTCTCGTGTGCCAGATTATTATTATTTTGGCCCCTGCGACCCAGGCAGCTTTCAAAGCAGGTGGATTTCGGATATGAAATGACAAAGACTGCGGGATAACGGGCTGGATGGAAAACTAAAATTTCAAAAATGCACAAAAATTTACTGAAACAAACTTCTTGTGACATAATTTTTTTATTTCAGGTTTAGTATATTAAAATGTTATACTTTGTAAAATTTTATAATTGTTGTGAATTTTAATTATTATTAATTATTGGCATCAATTTTACGAAATGTAATTTTTGTTTCAAAAAATAGTGCAGTTTAATCACTTTAAAAAAAGATATAAAAATAATTATCAGCTTCAGTCCAATCTTCAAATTCATGAAGAAGCTATGATTTTCATTATAAATTAAATTTACCAAAAAAAAAAAAAATGTAAGCAAAATGAAAATACTTATTTTTATTTATATATAAAATCAAACATGGTCTCACTGTTGTCGGTGATATCTGGGCATGTTCTAAAATTAATAATTTGCTCCCCTCGTGCCTGGCTGATTAAAGAGGGCCCCGATCAGTCCTTTGATCAGGGTGTTGCATATCAGCAGGGGCACAATAAACAGGCCGGCTGGTTGATGTGATTAATGCCGGGGCTGGATTGGCACCAAAGTGGATTAGCCAAGGCCAGGTCTCTGTGCGCGTAAATTGGCATTTTCTCCAGCAGGGTGAAATTGCCGGATGGCCCGGACGGATTCTCATGAACATCAATTGCATCGCATAATTCAATTATCCCGGTCTTTGTAGGCGCAGGGGGGCCGCGATAATCAAGCCGGAGACAGAGAGAGACTTGCGCATCTGCCTGCGCTCAGAGAGATTAGACGCTCGAGTTCGTTTTGCTCATTTCGACGGCGCGTCTGCTTACTTGCACGATTGCAGAACGAATTTCTCGAGAAATCAAATTATAGTTCTCCAAGTTGGAAAACAGGCGCAAGAGTTGCTGCTTCGAAATCCTGCTGATTAGAAAATAAAGTTTCGCCGGCGTTGATGCGAAATTAAATGGATTCCTGGATAAAAAGTTTCTCTCAATAAATCCCTCTAGGATTTTAACTTCAATCGACTCAAGAATTTTAAGCTCTGCGAATAAAATTTATTATTAACATAAAAAATTTGGGCCTGTTTGCATTTCATAAGCAAATAGTGCTAATGTATTCTTTTGAAGGCGACAGGCCGCCTCCAAAGCCGGTGAAAAATGTCTCGAGTGTCTTTGTGCGCGAGTCAGAGAAGAGAGGGTGAAGGAAAGAAAGAAAGAGATTTAGTTGGCAGCGGCGAGCGATCCGCGATTAGCGCCGCTTGTTCCTTGCGGTGGCCGGCGACGAAAGAAAAAAAAACACGAATCCCGACAACTTGTCTCAAGTGGAATGACCCTTATTTTATTTCCACCTATAGCTCTCTCGTAAATAAGTCAGCCGGCCTCGAGGGCACGACACTCGCCCTGGGCGGATTTTCGTCCCTGCTCCCCGACATGGGTTCAGAGTACAAAAATCTCAATTCTCTTGCTTGGCTCAGTTTGTATAAAATAAGAAGTATTTTCCACTTTCATCAACCAAATACCGACGTGACAGCTTTTTTTTGCAAAAGATTTACATATTTTATTGAAAATTCCTTCTCAGAAAAAACCATATATTTCATATTTTTATAGATCATCAATTTAATTTAGCTTCAAAATTTACACAATTAGAAATACAAATTTAACTAAATCACCTTTTGTCTTGTTTTTTGTAGCAAAATTTAGGAGAGATTGATAAAATTCTGAAAATAATATTATTTTGCGCCTGTATTGAACTGATTCGAGTCTGTACCGATTTGACCATTTTGTCTATTTGTCCATTGCAGACCACTTCCCGCATTTGACCCTCTGCGTAAGGGTGAAATCGGGTTTAATCAGCCAACACGGTCGGTTGTCAGTCAGAAAGGGCTAATTGAATTAATTTCGCATCTGCAGGCCGGGCCCGTCCGTCTGTCATTCCATGCGGGGCAGGTAGGAATGCGCGTGCAACACAATTAGCCCTCGCATCTACAAAAGGAACAAATTCGTCTGTCACTCGGCCATAATGCGTCCGACCGGGGCAGCGCGTGCGGTTTGATTGAATTAGCACGGAAGCACGGTGAGGATCAACCTGAAAACGACCTCTATTGATCAATATCAGAATAATTAAATTTTTAACATTTAAAATTCTAATTCATTTCAGCTTTAAAATTAAAATTTAACGCAAGAAGTATTGTTTTAAAATTATTCAATTGGTTTTACTTTTTTATAGAATAAAATTTTTTGCAGGATTTACAACGGATTCTTTTTTTTTTATGCAACCTGCATGACATCAGAGCCAAACTAATTGCCTACTCTATTTGTTCCAGGGCATGTGGGAGTCTTTAGAGGCCAGCATGGAGCTGAACGGCTCGGAGGTGGACTGCGACTGTCCCGGACCGCCTCCGGAGTTTCGTCTGCCGCCTCCACCGCGGCCCCCGTTCCTCCAGGAGCCTCATTGCTCAGAAAACGCGCTCTCCGAGTTTGAAACCTGCGACGCCGTTCCTGTGAGTATATTTTATTGAAATGAGAGTTTGTGCATTTGCAAGGAACGTCTCCATCCATTCAAATGAAGGGGGTGCTCATTTGGGGTGCGGAATTTAATTAAAAGCAGTGGGTGCCGCCACTCGAAATAATAGTCTTTGTCAACACTTTTGCCGCCGTGTTATTTGTATCTCGGACGCGCAACTTGTTTTCCAAGAAGAACACACACACACAGCTGCTTGACTTTATTGCAAAGTTGCCTGTGGAGCAGATGAGAGTTACGGCTGGCTATGTGGAACAAACTCTCTCGTGGCAAACTTTCTAGTTAACAGAAATAATAAACGTTTTAAAATTATTACTCTGGACTGGCAGGCAGGCGAGAGGAGCTCGTCGAGAGGCTGGTTCAGAAGTCGTTTGCTGCCATTTTTGTGTCAATGTCGCGGAAAAAGTGCCGTCGAGCGTGATGATTTTATCTTAGTTTCTAAAGGAGTTGGCGTAGAATAAGAAGAATAAGAAGAGCTGAAGAGCTAGGCGGGCGGGTAGCATGACAAGGCCACTCTTCATTCATGTTCTTTTTCGTCCTCGCTTGTAATCTTGAATTATGAATGCGTTCGCTTTCAATATAAATGAGCAGCTTGGGTAACAGATTTGAGTGTCTTCAGCCGAAAATAATTGTAATATAAAAAAAAATGATGGAAATTCTATTAAAATTAATAATCAAATTGCATTTTTTTTTTAAACTTTTTTGTCTATGTTGAATTTTAAAAAGTAAAGACAATTAATAAATAAGAACATTATTTTGGTTGATGTTTAACAAATCTGACAAAATTCCCACCTCCTGCTCCATTTTGGGCTTGCAAATTTCGTTTTGGAGCGTTCGTTTGGTTGACATCACAAAGCCCCTTAATTAAATTTGATTTGCAGAATTGTAACGTTCCAAAAATAGAAATCAATTTGTAGGGAATTCGCAAGGCAGCATCAGGTTCTCTTATCGTAATCCGAACCTGCCGCCAACGCTTGCTTGCTGCGGGCGCATTCTTTAATAAAGTCCTGCAAGAGCGAGAGATGAAGGAGTCGATTGCACGCTCCGGAGCAGTCTGCCCAGCCTAACTAGTTTTGGCAACATTTTCCGAGCGGCCAAAACGCATTCCACGTGTTATCGCCCACACACGCAAATATCTTTGAAAAGTTTTCTTTCCATTTTTACTGCGACTTGTGGGGCCAGACCGATTTTTTTCCGACGTCGATTCCCTTCGGCGCGAAAGAAAAGTTTGACCGTTGCTTTTTTCTGCGGCTCGCAATCCTCAGCAGGCTTTGGCTTTCTTCCTACTTTAGTGCCGGTTCGCTTTGGGGCAGCAACGTGTCGGCTCTGCGTGCGTTTAGCTGCAGGGGCGGGCTCGTAAAATTGGCGCAGAGGGAAGTCGAAGGCATCAAACCTGCATTTGGCAAATGAAACATGGGCTGCTGCCATTCGCGGCGGCGGCGGCGGCGCTCGACCATCAACTTTGCTCTTTCTCTGCACCCAGGGATTATTAGCTGCGTGCGTATAACACGAACACCGCGCCAGAAAAAACTCCGCACGACCCGAGGATTAATTGGAGAACGAGGTGCAGCCCCGAAACTTTTCAACGGTTTGTGCAGAAAAGTATAGTGTGGTGCACAAGGGATTTGCAGCAGGAAATCGTGGCAGGATTTCAGAGCTGAAAAACACGAGAAGATTTTAACAGCTAACTTTGTTCAAAGAAAATAAAATTACTCGTCAAGAGAGAATTGATCTTTTAAAGAATTATTATGCTTAACTTTTTTAATAAAAATGAATTTTCTTGACTGATTAAATTTTTGATTAACACAATCTGGTTTGCCTTACAATTTTTCATATTATTATGCTTGATTTTCTTTCTCAGGTCTCATAAAACTTTTGAAAAAATTTATTACAATTCCTTAAAATCGATATTTTTTATTTTCTATCGCCTGAAAAGTTTTAATAAAAAAAATATATTTATTCTTGAATTCACAATATATATTTGTATTGCCATCTCCAGTTACATTTCGGAATAATGAAATCAAGCTTTGAAAATGAAACAGACGTGAATATATTAAAAAAGGAAATAACTTTTTACGCTCAGCTATATGGCGCTGGTCAAAATTAAAAAAGTTCCATTTCTTTTCCGACGCTAAAAAGCCAGACAACTCATTTTGCAACGACGTATAACGAGCTGCCGCTTTTTCATCAGACGCGGCTGCTTTTCCTTGCCATTCAAACAGAGCACTTGCAATTATTTACTCGGCAGCTTTTCCTTCCGCGAGAGACGGGAAAAATAATCATTCCCAGGTATCTCATCATATCCATCGCAGCTCTCTCACGAGGAAAAGCTTTCGCGTCTCTCGTTTCTTATTTTCTCTAATAAAAGATAAGGTGGCATTAGCTGGAACATTGCATTTGCAGAGAGCAAAACGAAATTATTGCGCTCTTTCTCGGATAACTCTATTACAGTTTCTCGCCGCTCTTTCCCAGGGCGACGACGGCCGGTGATATTTATTAGTCGGGATGACTATGTGCGCTGCAATTGCATTACAGACGCGATGAGCAAGCGCTGCACTCTCGAGCTATATGATTATTATTACAATGGCGCCAACCGTTCCAGGCAGCTCCACCGCGGTAATCTAATCGCCCATCGACGTTCCTGCTGTCATTCCTCGCGTAAATTCTCGATCCATGCTCCACTTTGCCGTAATATGATTTGATTAGCCAGTCTCAATTAAAAGCAGTCTAAAAGCTCCACCTCTAATCCCTCGACTTCCATCATATTTTACCTTTTAAAAGCAGTCAGGGATTTTGAATTATTATTTTGATAAAATTGTGCCTTTCGGGTTTAAAATCATATTTTGAACTGGAAAAATTAAATTTGAAAATTAGGAACCAGAATTTGGCGACATAGCGCAAGGCCTTTAGACCTTTTAGAAAATCCTTCAGAAATCAGACCATCTAATTGATTTTCAGATCTTGAATTCGCTCATATGCTGAAAGGCACTAGATCAACATTCAAGCATTGAATTTTGAACTGGAAAAATGAAATTTGACAATTAGGAACCAAAATTTGGCGACATAGCGCAAGGCCTTTAGACCTTTTTTTTTAGTCGATAAAATTCTCCAGCAAATCCTTAATGTCGTCTTCAGAAATTAGTCCATCTAATTGATTTGCAGATCTTGAATTCGCTCATATGCTGAAAGGCACTAGATTATCATTCAAGCATTGAATTTTGAACTGGAGATATTAAATTTGACAATTAGGAACCAAAATTTGGCGACATAGCGCAAGGCCTTTAGACCTTTCAGTCGATAAACTAAATCAACAACAAATTAATGTTGTCTTCAGAAATAAGTCCATCTAATTGATTTGCAGATCTGGAATTCGCTCATATGCTGAAAGGCACTAGATCAAGATTCAAGCATTGAATTTTGAACTGGAGAAATTTAATTTGACAATTAGGAGCCGAAATTTGGCGACATAGCGCAAGGCCTGTAGACCTTTTAGTCGATAAAATTACCCAGCAAATCCTTAATGTTGTCTTCAGAAATCTGTCCATCTAATTGATTTGTAGATCTTGAATTCGCTCATATGCTGAAAGGCACTAGATTAACATTCAAGCATTGAATTTTGAACTGGAGAAATTAAATTTGACAGTTAGGAGCCGAAATTTGGCGACATAGCGCAAGGCTTTTAGACCTTTTAGTCAATAAACTTAACCAGCAACTACTTAATGTTGTCTTCAGAAATCATTCCATCTAATTGATTTGCAGATAAATTGATTTTCAATTAATGTCTTAATATTTCATCATTAATTTTTATTCCAAACCTTTCAAATAATAAATCTTTTGTGATCAAATAATCACACAAACTTCAATCAAATGGATTAGAGTTCTTGAAAAATGAAGCTCTACATCCAGGAAATTCCTTTTCCGGTCACGAAAACGTGCGGTTAAGTGCCATTTAATAAAGCAATTTGCAGACTAGATTTAGCATAGCCGACAGCGTTATAAAGTAGTTAGACCGAGAGCAGTCTCGCGCTTATTTTGCAAGTGAAGAAGCAGGAGAAAAAAGGACGAAGACGCTCTCATTGCGCCGTGCTGGTATTTTGATTGAAATTCCTGACTGGAGGACGAGACTTGGTCCGCGATAAGGGAGCGAGAGAGTCTGCTCGCCTGGCGACAGGATCGTGTCACAGTAATAAATTACACACGGCTTGCTTTCTTTCTTTCGTTCCTCCGCAGCTCTTCTTTTCCCACATGCATAATGCAGTCACGGTGCAGGCACTTTGTCTCTTTCGCGGCTGACCTCTTTGCTACGCCGCTCTCGGGCATTAATTTTGACCTCCGCAGTCAACCGACCGAGCAAAAAGCTCCTTTCATTCTAATTCACTGCAAAAATCACAGCAAATTTTTAAGAGGCAAATTTGCATTATTTATCCGTTTTTTATTAAGTTGGTATAAGGAAATTTTTTTAAGTAAGTATTTCTTATCTTTGAGTTGAAAATGACATTATAAAGTTCTGACAATGAGTGAATTAGTGATTTAATTATATTTCTAATAAAAATATAATAGAATTAATATATAAAAATTTAATTTTTCTTAATTCAGAAAAGTCTTCTCTGTTTCAAATTTAATCCTAGAAATTTATTTCAAAATCTAATTTATCAGGCACAATTAATAACATTATGTATAATAAATAATAATTTTTAGTGTTATAATTTGTGCCTGATAAAATAGATTTTGAAAAAATTTCTAGATTAAATTTTAAACAGAGAAGACTTTTCTGAATTAAGAAAAATTAAATTTTTATTCTTACGCCACAGCTGACCCTCATTTTTTAATAAATTTTTCTTTTCTATCGAAAACCTCTTGCCCAAAAAATGATAATTAAATTATTTTTTAAATTCCCCCCCCCCCATCATTTGACACCCCTAAATTATAACAAAAGCTTTTACTTTGTACTCACTTTAATTTTCGCATGTCGTTCTACAAAAAATATCCATTTTCGGCTCGCTCTCTGTGTCTCTATGGTTTTGCAATCCTTTTGTGTTCTCTCGGCGCACGCCAGCACAATTTGCAGATGCCGCCAAAGCTCGGCCATTTGCAAATGGAGAAGCGAATCTAGAGAAAACAAAGCACCAGCATTCCAGTCTGGTGCTTGTTTTTATTCCAAATTGCACGCGCGCGCGTTCGTTGTCGGTTGTTGTTGGCACTCTCGTAAAAATTTCGCCCTGCGTTCGCACTCGTATTTATGTTGGCGCAAGAGAGAATTCCCTCTTCAGTAATTATCCCGCGGGCCCAAAAGCATTTTGATGATGATGATGACGCCCGTGGTCTGTCAAAAGGCTAAAAAAATGCGCACCTTTTTATGAAATGCTAATGAGACACTGGCCCGAGAGCGGACAGATTTTTACGAGCAACTCGCTCTCGCACTACCGCGAAAAACGTATAATGGGTAATTGAGCCGCTTTTTACGCGCGGCTGACTTTGCGAGAAACATGAAAAATTTATCAGGTCAAAAAGTTGTAACTCGGCCGAGGAGTGGTTGGGATTTTGCAATCACGCCATCAAGTACGGGAAATCATGAACGAGGCTTATGAACTGGGAAGAATCCACTTAAAACGCAACAGATGTCATTTTAGCAAAAAAAAATTAGAGTAAAATAATAATTGAATTACGCGCAGATTAATAAATACGCATTAGAATTTTTTTTATTCTTTTGCTTAAGATCGTGAAATGAATAAAAAAAATCATTTATAAAATTTATGAAAGTAGTAATTATTATTTCAATTAAATTATAAATTATAGCGTTACAAATATTATAAATTAATTATATTAATATTAAAACTCTTATCCATGTGAAACGTCATCTGATCTGAACATTATTTTTCTGCTAAAGTTATAATACAAAGTAACTTATTGGCTCATAAGCCAGGTTTGCAACAGTTAAGCGCCAAATCCGCGGTGAATTATGGCGCGGCCGAGGTTCGCTTCTGGGCGCAAAGCAGCCTCAGGAGAATTTGCCAGCGGTCTTGGCTTGCACAGATAGAGATGCAGGCGTGGCTTACTAGCGACCACTGCATGCAGCACAGAGATGGATAATTGTCTGGGAGCACTTTGGCAGAATGCAAATTAATGTATCAGCAATTAGCCTGGCGCGCTTCTGCACGGATTATATTGCTGCGCCGTCGTGTCGCCAGAGACCAGCTCGTAAACATTAATTAGAGCGGCTGGGGCTAATTGATAGCTCATTATTTGCACCGTGCAGGCGTGTGATTTATGTGGCTCGTCCGCGCCGCACCATCCAGTGCATTTTAAATTTTAACGTTCGATCTCTCGCGCATTAAATTATTGAAAGGCAGGTCACGACCCTGCATCGATTGACAACATGCAATTCAAAATATTAAAACAGCGGCCACTTCAAAGATAAAACTGCAATTAACAAATTATTGTTGTGACCGTTTTGACACTTGCGGTGACGAAGGTCGGGAACAATAAAAGACCAGTTTGGAAACAAAGAAAGAAATCTCGTCTATCATTGTGCCCAACAATGAGAGTCTGTGCCTGTCGCAGGTGGCACTTGAATTTTGCCGATTCACCCCTTCAGTGGGTTCATTTTCGGGGAACGGCTCGATGATATTCAACTTTCAAGAGTGACGTGATTGCTTGGCTAATTGGTCAATTGATGCCCGTCAACGTGAGATATATATATATATATAAAATTTTCAGTGTAAAAAAAATTATATATTTAAATGAGGAAGAACAAATTTTCCATCGAATTGAAGCAAATTAGTGAAGAGTGAATTTTTTTTGTTTCAGGTGATTGATGCCGAGTTCCACAGCAGCCCTGCCCTGCCCTCGGTAGCGGTGATCGCAGTTTGCTCCATCGTTCTCCTAGTCATGGTCCTCCTTGTCTCTGTCCTTGTTTGGAAGTAAGTACAGATTGCAATTTATTAAATCCTCTTAAAATCGCAATTAAAGTTGATGATTTTCTGTGAAATATTGAATTTATAAATTACTTATATTATGACAAATTTCGCATCTTTTTATTTCAAAATAGTAAAATAAGCTGAGCGGAAAAGCAATTTCCAAATCAATCGACGTTCACTTTACAAAGTTGTGTTTGAGTGAAATTCTAAAAGATGCAAATTTGCCGAGTCACACGTCGGCAGTCAGAAAACTATTTGCGCGACGTGCGAGGGAGTTGCACACGCTGAATTGCAGCCGGTGCAGTTTTAATTAATTAATGTGCATCACACGTGCCGCCGACTAATCAGATTACACTGCACGGCCGGGGGAGCGACTCTCCGCCGGTTGCGCTAACATTTATTTTATCGCGATGCGAGCCGCTTTTTTGCTTGGATATAAAAAGGGATGCAACGCGACACGTTCTAATTCAGCATGCATTGCAGCGGCGGTAATAATTTGCTTCCCTTTAGCAAGGGTTGCTAAATTTTACCTGCTGTTCATCCAGGATTACGCGCCATTTTGCGTAATATATCTTCCGGAAAATGCTCCACGAACTCTAAATCTGCAGCAATTTGCTTTCTGGGTTGGTTGGAATTTAAAAGCTGTGGCCCGGAAATGAAATTAGTATGTTTTTCATTAATTTTTATTATTTATGTATTAAATTGCAGAGAAAACAGATGAGACAAATAACTTTTTTTTAAATAAATTAGAAAAGGATCTTTAAAAAAAATTAATGAATCTTCCTTTTAAACATTATCATCATAAATTAAAATAAAATAAATTTTTTTAAAAACTTTATAAAATTGACTGCAATAATTTCATTTACTTTAAAATAATATTTCGCTTCGAATAATCTGAAAATTTCTTATTAATCACTAGAACTTTTAAATTATGCAAAAACTCGAGTCTTTAGTTCCATACTTTGAAATTAATATTGCACTCTCTGAAACAAATTTCTATCCACGCAATCAAATAAAGTATAAAAAATAAAATTATTCAACGACAGATTTAATCGCAAGCTATTTTTTGTTTCCTTTTTAATTCTTTAAAATTTCATAGCAAAACAATGTAGTAACTTTCGTTTATAAATTAAATATTCCGTCTAATATACCTCTTGTTGGTTTGATGCCGTAAAATCCACAAAGTGTCGGTGCGTCCCAAGGGCGTGTTCCTCCCTCTCTCTGAGTCGCAAACAGCACCTCGGCGCGCCAAACTAGATTCCTGGCGTGCATTTGGGACATAAAAGTGAAGCGGCAGCGGAGGGCTCAATTAAATTGTGCCGCGTGAAGTGGCGCTCGTTTGCCTCAAAGAGGTAGGTGTCTTGCACGAACGTCCTCTTGCTATGCGACAAACATCCCCGGCGACAGTATCAGAGCGACGCCCGTATTTGCCCTGTGATTATTTCTCGCCGTGCGATTACCTCTCGCATGAGGGCTGTAATTACAAACTTCTATCCGCAGCACCTGCCTGCGCGCGCCCTAAATTAGACGACTGTCGCCTTTCACCTTGCTTAACTCGCGGAAACCCACTGCGCGCTTCTCGAATTTGATTGCACTTTGAACAACGCACTGAATAAAACAATGTTATTTACGAGCACTTAATTTCCATTTGATTTAGTACTTATGACTAAACGCCTTTTACGTGGAATTACGTTCCGAGACGCGAGATACTGAGACAAAACCAGTGTAAAAAAGTTAGAAAATTCCTGTTGTGATAATAAACAATTTTAATTGAGGGCGAAAATTTCCCAAAATTAAAAACAGGAATTTTCTAACTTTTTTACACTGGTTTTGTCAGTATCTCGCGCCTCGGAACGTAATTCCACGTAAAAGGCGTTTAGTCATAAGTACTAAATCAAATTATTTCCCGTTCCGAGTGGTTTCTTTGGGTTTTAATTTCTCATTAAACTTAATTTCCAAATAAATCCTCTCATAATCTTGTTGCTCGAAGTTTACAGTCAATTCTAAAAATAAAATATAAAAATTTTTGATTTTTATAATTGGAAAGAAACACTTCCATGATATTCTTATTCAAAAATGCTAAGTTAAAAAAAATTATGCGCTCTTTCAGAGATTGAATTTGCAAAACCACAACTGATTGGCCACTGCCTATATTACCAAAATTTTGAAACACTCAGGGCTACTATTTGATTTTGTCAGATCCAATATGTGGGTTCTGCTTATCCAACAGTTTAACTGCTCAGAAACTAATTCTCAAAATCAGAAAAGAGGCACAAAAAGGTCAATTTCAAAGTGCAAAAGAAAAGAAAAATTTTAATTTTAACATTTAACTGATTTTAATTGTAAAAAGTGTCAATGCATAAATTATTAGAAATTTGTATTTGTCAATTAATTGTTTAAACTGTGTGTGGTTAGTAGGTGGTGCTAACTTTGTGTAGAATGTTAATGTGACAAATATATCAATTAAAAAAAAAAACATTACCCGGGAGTAACCTGTGTGCTCCTTATCAGTGCATATGATGGGGGCACTGATTGGCAAATAATGCATTTCTTTCTCTTCTTTGCACCGTGCACTCGACACTTCTCACACACAGAATAAAATGTTGAGGACGAATCAATTGATTTTTTTTTATTATTATTATTTTTGTTCAAGGGAAGGACCTAACTGAGAATGAAAGATTTAGTTTTAAACAACAATTCTAAATCAAAATTCCCAATTATTATTAAATTTCTCAAATAAAATTTTATCTAGTAGTAGTTCTTGTTGAAAGATTAATTTTGTAACATCTTAAAATATGATGTTAATTCGAATAGGTTGCAAATTATATAATTTGGTTTAGTTCTGATAAATATAACTATTATTTCATTTAAATCCTACAAATAAAAATGTCTACTTATGAATATCTTTCGTATCGTACACTTGTTTTTTACCAACGCATATTTTCATAAAAAAAACTCGGATCAATGAAATCCACTAGACTGACCACTGACCAACGCTGCAGCTCTGTAAGCCGATAATAATCCCCCTTAATGCCGGCACACTGCAGATGCGGCTGTGCAACGAGCCACTTCTCGGGGGTGCACCAGAGAGAGCTGCACCCTCTCCGATTCTATTGCTCACACGATGCACCAGCACGTTCATCGTTTCGGCGGTTTGTGCGGGCGCGGGACGAGCAAACAATAACACGCGAAATAAAATAAACCAGCAGCGCAGCCGGCGCGTGTTTTCAGCTGCGCGGCAATTCGCTTTTATGATCCCAACTGCAAACAAACACGCAGAATGATCACTATTACATGATAAGCTTTGCAGCACAGGCAGAAAAGTGCGTGTGGCCTCTCCATCCTCCCTTGAGATTTTACTTTGGAAATAAAAAAAAAGATACACTGCTTGAAAAAAAATAAAGGGGTTTTGTTAAAATTTTCGCTAAATCAAGAAAAGAATAAGCGATAAGAAAATGTTCACCTTTTTTCCAGCTCAACTTTTCAATTATTAATATTATTTAAATTATTCCTTTAAATTCCGTTAAAAATTACAGCTTAATTTTGTGTTTCTTAAATTGTATGCTCAGTATATAATAAAACGTTAGAACAATTTGCATCTTCCAAAACGAGCATGCTCACTTTGTTAGCAGTCTTAATTAAAATCCTTTTGAGACGGAGATCATGCACTTTATTAGAGCGCGATTCGCCTCGAATCAGCGCTTCGGAAAATTAATCTTGCATTTATGCTTTTGAGCGAATCGGAATTATTCAAATTTCGAGTCCTGTGACGGAGCATTCTGGAAAAGCAACGCTGCCATGGCACAAGAACAACACAGTAATTAAATTTTCATTTGGAATATACGGCATTCCTCGTCGTGGACGGAAAACTCTCTCTGCTAAAAGATCTCTCGAGCTCACTTGAAGAGGCCCTGCCTGCCAACTTGAGACTCACTCCCCGGCGCGATATGAAACATTAAATTCATTTCGCGCAACGCCAGAGCGAGAGGGTTTCTAACCCTTTGCTCTGCTTACACTCCATCCACGCAGAAATGCATTCAAATCCTCCGGCAAATGCGCATTTCTCAGGTCGTTCGCCGACATCAAAGGCCCCTTGCCTTGCCTTGGCCACCCAAAACAAGAGAGGGAGCGCGGCTGCATCTCCCCGAGAACTTTTCCGCTCATAATCAAATACACGGGCACGATTATGGCGACGAGCTCATTTATTCCTCTTTCGCAGTCAGCACGAATACGAATAATAAATGTGCTCGGCTGGCACTTTCCTCGTCTCTTACTTAATAAAATACGATCTGCACTCTCGACTGGAAATATTCCGTAAGTAATTTTGCCGCACCAGAAGGTGGAATGCGTCTTACACCAAGGGCTGTTTTTTTTTTTAAACTGAATTTTCTTCAACTTTCCATTACAAATTGCGAACATATTTTTACACTGGAAACTTTTATTTCGTCGTGGCAGCGCAAAAAATCAGTAACTTCTGACAAAAAATTGAAAATTAATTATTGAAAGAATTTTTGTTTGATTCTTGCAACAACTAATTTTGCGGTTTTTTTTGAAGTTACTGTTTTTTTGCGCTGCCAGGACGATTTACCGTTTCACTAAATGTGTTAAAAATAAATAATAATTTTATTATTGTTGTTTATTTGTCCAATTGTTACATCACATTGCTTACATAAAATTTTTGAAGAAAATTTATTTGAAAAAAGGAATTGTTGGACGAAACGGAGCCGCCACTAGCAAGAATTCCAACAATAATAATTTTTATTTTCATACCAATATTAAAATTAATGGTGATTTGAATTTAAAGTCGGCTTTTCTCCATGGGTTTTGTGAGTTGTTTATTGTTTAAGAAAAACAACAATTTTCTTATAAACAATAAACAACCCACAACACCCATTGAGTTATTATCATTGTTTATTCTTCACAAGTAATCATACATGAAAGCGAGAAAAAAAATGTGAAGAAACGGCAGCACCTCTGGCGAGCACGTCGCTAAAACGCGAAGC